AGGTTCCAGTTTAATTATAAAACAAGGCCTGTCTTTGGACGGGCACAGGTGAGTGTCTGTCCAAACCTTTCCAACCCTCCTTTCGGTACTTCCTGGGTCTTTCGATCATTCCAGCCATACATCGGAAGTGATCAAACCCACATCATGTCGGAGGCGAAAATGAAGCAGAAGGAGCTGAAGCGACGAAACATCATGGATTCGATAAACCGCATCGACGAGTTCCTGAACAATTTCAACTCCGAACGAGACTCTAAGGAGGTAGCGATACGATTGAGCAGACTGGATATGCTGATAGAAACTTTCGAGGCAATACAAGGTGAATATGAAGCATTCGATGATTCCGACAAATTTGTGGGTTCAAGGTGGAAGAACAATACTATCGGGTTAAAGGTGGTTTAATTTGCTTGGTCCCTCCCTCCACGCCAGTAGCAGTTGAACCAGCACCGGCAGTTCCCGCAATTTCCCATTTGAGTGGCGTAAAGCTTCCGATGATTTCTCTGCCGCAGTTTGATGGAGATTTAACGAGTGGTTAACGTTTCACGATTCGTTCAATTCGTTAATACACTCATCGGCAGAAATCCCAAGCATACAAAAGTTCCAATACCTTCGGTCAGTTTTGAAAGGTGATGCACTCAAGCTGATTGAATCCCTGACTATCAATGCAAACAATTACGGTGTTGCTTGGGAGTCTCTGTTGAATCGGTATTCCAACAAATACCTGCTGAAAAAGAAGCACTTGCAGGCCATTACATTCCAACCCAAGGTTCTGGGCAAATCTGCTTCAACACTTCGCGCCGTGGTGGAAGAATTCCAACGGCACGTCAACATTTTGGGTCAACCGGGTGAACCCACAGTAGAATGGAGCAGCTTGTTGGTTCAATTACTTTGCTCAAGAGTCGACGAGCAAACAAGTTCGTATCCGCTGATGGAGAACCTACGTACACCAATCTTGTCGAATTCCTCACCAAGAAAATACGCACACTGGAGTCCCTGTCAATCACTGCAGAACAATTCGCACCATCCTTCCAAGGCAAACACAATCTCCCCTCAAAGCAATCAAAGTCGACCCATGGTCCTCTTTCTTCTCGGGTTGGTAGCTACGCTGCAACAGAAAATTGCCTACCTATGTGTCACGCATGCAATCAACATCATCTCCTGGTGAAGTGTCCTGTATTCGAGAAAATGTTGCTGAAGGATAGGCTGAACGTGGTCAACACCAAGAAAATTTGCAGCAATTGCTTCCGCGGAGATCACTTCGTTCGCAAATGTTCCTCCAATTTTTCCTGTCGTACTTGTCAAAAGCGACACCACACTTTGCTGCATCCTGGATTCGAAACATCGGCAACTGGCAACGGAAACATTAATCACGGTCAAGGTCAAAGTTCCCAATTCCATCCAGTCTCCAACGTTGCTAGATGTGAAGTCGAAATGGTACAAACTACTACTGAAGACACGGTTTCCTCCAACTCTGTATCCGACCCGCGAAGTGTGAATGTATTCCGATCAACTGTCGTACTCGTCGTTGTGGATGGATATGGGAGAGAGCATCTTGCACGAGCACTATTGGATTCGGGCTCACAATGTTGTTAGATGAGCGAACGACTCTGCCAACAATTGCGATTGGTTCGGCGACGAATAAACCAACCCATCTTCGGCGTCGGTGAATCTCAAATTTGGGCTGTTGGTTCGGTCTCCACAGAAGTTCGATTTAGAATCGACGAATTTTCGGTCTCTCTGGATTGTTTGGTTCTTCGCAACATCACCACAAGTCTGCCTGCGGTATCAATTCCAAAGAACAATTGGACTATTCCCGAGGGCATTAACCTTGCAGACCCTGAATTCAACGTTTCACGGAAAATAGATTTGATAATTTGTTCGCAATTGAAGCGAACGTAATGTGTTGTAGAAGTAGTAGTAGTAGTTGTTTTGTGTAATCACCCTAACCACTTACCCAATCCTTTAAAACTCTACTAACCCCGAGGCGACCGCGGGTAATCGGTTTCCGAAACTAACCCTAATGTGCTACATGTGTAATTTGTATCAAGACCCTGAAAACAAGCTTTGATCATTTCCTTACGCTGCCGCTGGCTTGGCACGAGCATGCAAGCAGCAGCACCGACCGAGCGACGAGCGACCGACCGACCACAAACCAACGAGCGTGTAGCGAGTGCTGATTGGTTATGAATGAAGGAGAAATGAACGAATGCAACATCAAGAAGAAGAAAGCCAAACACATTTAAAGCGACGCATTTTGCGCGTCGCGATCATACAGTCCACGAGCTTTGTAAAGCAAACACCGAAATATAGCGCCGTTGAAAGTTTTAATTCTCGTTTTTCCTCCTTGGACAAGCCGAAGCCAAAACAGTCCTTTTCAGGGCTATGAGTTGAGTTGGATTTCAGTCGAGCTTTTCGTTGTGTTCCTGTTGGCATTCCCACAGGGGGAATTGGCCAAATCAGCTGGAATTCTCCGAGCCGAGGATTGCCACACCATCTCCAGTGTCCGTGATCGGACATTTTTGGTCCTTCGAACCGGATCCATGTGATCCCATCCGTTTCTGTTGCAACCGCAACAGCGTTTCGACAATCTGACAATTGTCGAAAAGTTCCTGCCTTTCGTCGCTGTGATCAGCCGATCGGATTTCCTGCTACCTCACGAAAAGCTCTCAGAGTTTTGTTTTAGAATTTTCTTGTGGCTTGGCTAAAAGGAAAACCGCAAGTTTCTTCGAAAGTACAGTCGCGAGTGAAATCGAACCTGTTCGTCGTCGCGTGTGCAAAACAAAACGTACGCGAACGTCTTACGTCGTGCGCAAGTGGTGGAACGTGTTTATTCCTGTCCGTTCCTGCCTACCGTTGTGCAGGTGATCGCTGTGCTTGATGCCAATTCAACACACACCTGTGAAGACCGAAAAGGAGAAGATGGCTGAAGTGAAGACTCTTGTTCACCTTCGTGGGCAAGCGAAGGCCAAAGTGACGAGGATCCGGAAGGCCGTTGAAGAAGCATCTGGAGCTGGAGCAAGGCAATTGAGTATGGTGCAGCTGAAAGTCTTCACACGCAATTTGGAAACGCACTACCAGGAGTATTGTGATATTCATCGGCAAATCGTCGCTTTGACTCCCGCCGAAAAACTAGTGGACCAGGATGAAACGTACATCCTATTCGAAGACCAACACAACGAGGCTTGCATGTTGGTCGAAACATTAATCCAGTCGATGACCGAGCCGCAACCTCGTCCGATGCCATCGTCCCAGCGAGAAGGGATTCCTCGCATCATCGTACAGCAGCAACCACTCAAGGCTCCCATTCCCACCTTCGATGGGAAACCCGAGAACTGGCCACGTTTCAAGGCCATGTTTCTCGACGTCATGAGAACATCCACCGATTCCAACGCCATCAAACTTTACCACCTTGATAAAGCGTTGATTGGTAATGCCGCGGAATCATCGACGTCTGCACCTTGAACGAGAATAATTATGCCGGAGCATGGGAGCTGCTGGAAGAACGTTTTGAAAACAAGCGGCTCATCGTAGACACACACATCCTGGGGCTGCGTAGCCTGAAGAAAATGAACCGAACAAGTGCCAAGGATCTTCGCGAATTAGTCGACGAAGTATCCCGACACATCGATGGATTGAAGCTCATGGAGGAAGTTATGAACGGTATGTCGGAGCGTTTCGTTGTCAACCTCTTGGCAACAGCTCTGGATGCCAAAACCCGGATGGAATGGGAATCAACCGTTCCCCACAAGCAAATTCCCACGTACAAGGACACGATGGAGTTCCTAAAGAAGCGCTGCGCAATCCTGGAGCGGTGCGAGGATGCGATCGTGAAGCCGCCCGTTACGAAGCCATCTGTACCAAGCAAGAATCAAGTGAAGAGTATCTCTACCAAAGCTTTTGCTGTCACCGGAAAGGAGTCCTGTGACGTGTGTGGAACTGGAGCCCACCCGAATTTCAAGTCCGAGCGATGACCGTCGTGCAACGCCATGCCAAGGTAAGAGAGATCAAAGCTTGTTTTAATTGTTTGAAAGTGGGTCATTTAAGTAATTCGTGTACATCGTCATATACGTGTTCTAAATGCAAGGGTAGACACCATACCCTTCTGCATAGTGATAAACCGGTTTTCCAGTCTACCTCGAAATCCAATGTCTCGAACGCTGAATCCCAGTCTGTTTCTGAGGTTTCACAGTCAATTTCGAAGTCTCAACCTTTTCCTGAGGTTTCGCAGTCTGTCTTGAAATCGAATGTCCCAAATGTGCAATATCAATCTGTTCCCAAGGAATCCCAGTCCAATAGTGCAGTCTCGCGTTCACTGAAGCAACCCCTGCTGAACATTTCTATACGTTCCTGAAGGGTGGCCGGATCACTTTGGGGAAATCATCACCCACGCTTGTGGAGAGCGTGTTTGGTTGGCTAGTATCGGGAAAGTCATCCTATGAAACGATATCCCACCCCCCGCTATGCCATATTTCTACCTTGGAGTCGAATAGAGGAAGTAGATACCAGAATTCTGTCACCAACCGAGCAGTGCTGTGAGAATTTCTACAAACGCTCAGTATCCCGGAAATCGACTGGGCGATATGTGGTCAAATATCCCAAAAAGGAAGGCTTTTCCCGTATGATTGGTGACTCCTACTGCAATGCCTTGCGACGATTGGAGAGTCTCGAAAGGAAACTGGAACGAGGAATTGAAGGAGAGGTATTACGCATTCATGAGGGAATTCATAAATCTAGGACATATGCGAGAAGTCTTCCCAGATCAAGAAGAACCCGCTATAGTTTGCTATCTTCCCCACCACCCGATGGTGAAGGAGTCGAGCACGACCACATAGGTCCGTGGTGTGTTCGACGCATTGGCGAAAACCAGTTCTGGAAATTCACTGAATAATGCGCTCTTGGTCGGCCCCGTTATCCAAGACGAACTGTACGTTATTGTCCTCCGATTTCGTAAATTCAGGATAGTCTTACTGGCAGATATCGAGAAGATGTAGCGCATGATCAGCATGCATCCTGATGAGTGCTTCTTCCAATGCATACTTTTCCGTTTCGGCAAAGCTCACCCTATCACCAAATACGTTCTAACGACAGTGACGTATGGATTGGCTCCGTCATCGTTTCTGGCAACCTGCACGCTTCATCAGCTTGCCGAAGACGAAGGCGATTCGTTTCCCCGCGCTGCAGAGGCGCTAAAGCAAGATTTTTACATGGACGATTTCATCCGAGGAGAGAATAGCGTCGAGTCGGCGATCAAATTACGACGAGAGATAACTGAGTTACTCAAACGTGAAGGTTTTCGACTGAGAAAGTGGAGTTCCAATTCCCAAGCGGTCCTAGAAGGAGTTCCGGAGGATGACCTAGCCACTCAATCCTGTCGATCGTTCGATCCCGAAGAGACAATTAAAACGTTGGGAATCAGCTGGGAACCATCGACCGACCAGTTTCGATTCAGCATCAACGTGAGCATGAAGGAAGGACCGATAACCAAACGTAAAATTTTGTCGGGGATCGCACGCCTGTATGATCCGCTTGGTTTGATTGCACCGATTGTCGTTCGGGCCAAGATATTGATGCAACAGTTGTGGATGCTGTCTTTGGAATGGTACGAGGAGGTACCCACCGAGATCCAAGCCAAATGGATGACTTTTATCAACGAGCTGCCCTACCTAGTCAGTTTTCGTATTGATCGGTATGCTTTTGAGGAGGGGGATGTGCAACTACATTGTTTCGCCGATGCATCCGATGTTGCTTATGGCGCGTGTCTGTACGTGCGTACAATTGGAATCAACGGTGAAGTGAAGGTTGAACTGCTAACTTCGAAATCGAGGGTGGCCTCGCTGAAGAAGCGTAGTACTGCACGGTTGGAATTATGTGCTGCTCAAATCGCTGCTCATCTAGCTACGAAAGTCCGCAATGCGCTGGAAATTGAACCTGGATCCATCCGGTTTTGGTCAGATTCGACGGTGGTCTTGCACTGGCTTTGCTCCCCACCGCAAACATGGAAAACGTTTGTTTCAAATCGTGTGGCCGACATTCAAATCCTAACTCACGGCTCCAGGTGGCGGCATGTTTCCCGAATGGAGAATCCCGCAGATTTGGTATCGCGGGGGTATGGAAGTTAGACAGTTCACGACGAGTGAGCTTTGGAGAAAAGGACCCGATTGGCTGCGGGAGGGAGAGGATCTCTGGCCAGAACAAGTACCCATTCTGGCTGCTCTATTCGACGATTTACTTGAGCGCAAGACAACGTGCCTGGCAATTCAAACCCCACCACCACCGAACCCCTTGATTACCGGATTTTCGTCGTACCACCGCATGGTACGGACGATAGCCTATTGTCTGCGGTTTATTAAAAATGCTCGTAAGGGAGAACGAGAAAACACAATGCTTCTTTCCGTCGACGAAGTAAAACATTCACAAGCCACTCTGCTGAAAATGGTTCAAGCTGAGTGCTACCAAAAAGAGCTGCGTGCTCTCAGGAAAGGTCAACCGGTTACTAACCAGTCCACGTTGAAGCTGCTGAACCCGTTCGTGGACACTTCTGGAATTATACGCGTTGGTGGCCGGCTTAGACTCTCTGAAGAATCCTATGGTACCAAGCACCCAATTCGTCTACCTGGGTTCCATCACTTCACACGAATGCTCTTGGTGTCGTACCATAGTATATTCATCCCCGTATAAAACACGCTCATAGTCCGAGTTGTCGGAGCCGATCTTCGCATTGAAGTCACCTGTGTAGATCTTGATATCACCTCTTGGAGTTTTATCCACGATAGCATTCAGTAGACTGTAAAAGTTCTCTTTGTTCTGCAATTCGGCAGCATCGGTTAGCGCATAACATTGGATTATGGTAAGGTTTCAGACCCGTGTTCCCACTTCATGAGCGCAGCCTGTGCTTGGGCGCTAAGCAGAAAGCCAACTCCACGATGTCGCGGAGCGTTTTCACCTCGCATACCAGAATATAAAAGTACCTGTCTCGAAGGCAGCTTGTGTTCTCCAAAGTTCGGCCAGCGGACTTCGCTAAGTGCCAGGATTTCTAGCTTCATACGGCGGGTCTCACTGGCGAGTTGTGCCAGTTTACCCTGTTGGGCGAGCGTCAGTACATTCCATGTTCCAATTCTTGTCCGTTGTTTAGCGCTAAAAGTCGTTGCCATAAAATCAGTTCGTAATCTTTCACTATAGGTTTCTGTAACAATTTGAAGGTTTCGGAGACAGTAGGTGGTTGACCTAAGGTCTTTTATCCTCCGTGATGGGACTGCCATCTTGGGTATAGCTTTCGGCGAGAAGCATTTCGGATTCAGCCGCTGGATGCCAGTCAGACGCTGTTTGCGCCGCCCCTAACATGAAGAACAGATGCTCGGGTTTTGTAAGCCACATCCTCCGAAAAGGATGCAGCTCCCCCTTCCCTGTCAGCATAGGACCAAAGTTCCCACAGGAGTTGGTTACCCGATCTTCCCTAAGGTTACTCGTACCCCAGCCAGCGCCGCGGGGAGGAAGGGATAGGAGTTACTGGGCAAGAGGCTAAGGACCACTTTCACTTGCGTGACGGGTCTATTTTATAGACTTCAAGTACGCTAAGTACCGGTGGTACGCATTATCCCAGTCATTTGCCAGCCAAAGCCGTGAAGCCGTTGGTCCTCGGTATATGAGTTAATGGGTCGAAAGGTACGGTTCAGGTGTGGGAGGTGCCTCCCTGGCGTCGGTAGCATTGGTACTCAGTACGGAAAACAAGGTCGACGGAAAACAAATCAAGGAAAAATAAACAAACGATCACCATGCCATGTGTGCGTTACATTGGGAAAAAGTCCATAGAAGCGTGGACGCTGCTTAGATTGCCGAAAATACGGAAAATCCACTATGTTTTAAAAATAGCCTAAAACCGAAAAAAAATGTCAGTGCATATTTTTACTCGTGAAGCTATTAGCTCCCGAGAACTTCTTCTAATTTCATTCTTATCTACAACTGACTGTTTCCGTACTATATTTGTTAAAATATTTGTTCAAAAATGAGCCTTGAGTGAAATGGTCTTCTTGCCTGCGGAAAATATTTGGTCTGTCAAACTGAAAATATGTGCCAAGTGTCATCCAGATCGAAGATAGTCGAGTTCGGTGACCGACCGTTTTGCCGTGAATCTGTCAAAAGACGATTTGCCCTATACTTACATCAGAACATTAATTTTTTGTCACCCAAAGTATGTGCACGAGACATTCGCAAGCCATCTAGAAGCAGTCACTCCATCATCACATGATCAGACTCTATCTGAAATATCTTTTAAATCTAAGGTCAAGGTTGCAAACTTGAGCAACCCTCAATGCATAAAGCATCACCCACCCGTCATCAATAATTGAACGCTAAAGCGCATCCCGTCCAGATGCACTGTTCGTGGCCAGCAACGCATGCATCATCCAGATCTATCGGTTAACGATTCTCCCGAGCCAATTCAGTTCCCAGTGCGGATGGCGATCTGATTGTAAATTCAGCAACAACTGATTTTTCAATCATCCAGCGGATTTTGCAAAATGGCAAATTGCATTGCAAATACGGACGACGATCCGCAGCCTCTATATCTATAGTAGAAATGCGGTGGGTAATGACATTGATCCTGCATGTGTGGCAACCATGTGTTCGGGACAAGAATAATGCCTAGTAATAATGGATTTAAGTTTCCTGCTTAAATCAGCTATTTTTTTAAGGGTCGAGATTCGAAATACAACCGCGAGAAACAAAATTGATTTGTTAAAAATAGGAATGCAACATTAACAGTCGTCCGATCGGATTTCAAAATCCGATTAATGTTTGCCATAATCGTGCGCATCCGGAATGTTTTGAAATGGAAATCCTGCTAGAATTGCAACAGCGTGTTATTGACACATCGAAAATCGCTCACGATAGCTCAATCCCCGAAATTCTCACTAACCACCGAGTCAAAACAACGATTACTGGTGGTCTAACGACCCGAGTGCATAAGCCTTATTGGGTAGCTCGGTGCAGCAACTTTCCAATGAATGGAATTGCACCACTATCATGCCACAAAAAAAAGGAGCATCGAATTACAAACATTGACTCCTGGTTTTCCTCGTAAAAATGGGTAGGTACTTTGAACTCGCGAAAAAACTGGCACCTGGCGCTGCTCCGCGATCAGCCGGTAGGGTTCTCAGAGGTTATTTAATTTACAATGAATTTGGCGGGTGCATTTTTATTTTTACATTACGTTGTAATTTGCAAGTTGTAGGACGGGTAGGTCGAGGGGATGCGAGGTAAGGCGTTTGACGTCGCTCATCGGAATTCCGTAGAAAAATGGTTTGGATGCGCAGCTTTTTTTCCTTTTGTAGGCTGCGTTGATAAACGCTTGGGGTGACCGATTGTCAGTTGTGCGAATATTGTAATTCGATTCTCGTCAATTGAAGAATGCAAAAAAAATGTGTACTCCGTTGGTTTGATTCATGTTAATCCATTTTTTTTTGCAATGAGCTAAATGATGATCGACGCATTTGACTCAAAGTGTGGAAAAGAGGGCAGTGTTGAGTTTCGATAAAATTTGATCTGATAAGCATACGAGTGTGGGTACTTGAATTCAGATCATGATCAGAATGGCTCATTTGTAGGAATGATTCCTGAATCATGACACACGAACATTAACAGATATCGCCAAGCAGTATTAATATGACCAACCAGAGTTCCCCCTTTTAGATATTAAATATTCTATACATCGATTAGCGGTTTGACACTATCATCCACCACAGATCGCACCACACATTGGACAACATTCTAGTTAGTCGATCCCCGGTAGCTGGAAGACATTTTTCTTGCTAGGTGTTCTGACACATTGTTGTGTCACATAGACCTGCGCGCCGACGTGTTTTTTATAAGACGGCGGCGTATGGGATTTTTTTGAGCGGCGGCGGCGGCGTGCATCGACCTGGAGAATATAGACGAGTGCAGGGATGGATTTGAGTTTACTCACTCGACAAAAAGTGACACAACAGCGGGGTCCTGTTTCCTTAAAATGAACACATGAATAATACTCGCGTAACGTTTGAAACGGGCCTATCAACTTTTGTACACAAAACTTGTTAAGCCCTTTTCGTGCGAACCGAATACGCCCACGCAAACTAACAACACCATCGGGTAGGGTAAATTCTTCCCTTCTCAATAGTGCTCTTGGTTTGCGTGGGCGTACTTCGGTTCTCGTGAAAAAGGACCTAGTAAGTTGTTTACAAAAGCTGATAGGCTCTTTTCAAATGTTACGCGAGCATTATTCATGTGTTCATTTTTAGTAAACAGGGCCCCGCTGTTGTGTCACTTTTTGTCGAGTGAGTGAACTCAAATCCATCCGTGCACTCGTCTATTTAGCTTCCTTCTTACAATGTTTGCTACAGAACAGTTAAAACATTGTAAACTTGACTTGCGTTCAGGTATGGGAATTGTCGCGTTTGTCATTGACGCATGACAAGATACATTAAAAAATGGTCATCCTGGAAAATTCTCGTCAAACAACAATTTCTTGTCGCACGACAAGATCACCACGACAAAATCAAGAATCCATCCAGTCGCGACTAACTATTCTACTCATATGTCACTCATTCTGTTCTTTGAGACATTGACCAATGCACGGAATGAACTCACGAAAAAATTTGAATTATGAGCGGTGCCGTGTTTACTAAAAATGAACAATGCTCGCGTAACTTTAGAAAATGTTCTATCAACTTTAAAAAACAACTTGTTAGGCCCTTTTCTCGCGAACCGAAGAACGCTCACGCAAACCAGACCACTATTGGGAAGGGGATAATTTACCCTACCCGATGGTGTTGTTGGTTTGCATGGGCGTACTTCGGTTCGCGGGAAAAATGCATAACAAGTTTTGTGTACATAAGTTGATAGGCCATTTTAAAATGTTACGCGAGTATTATTCAGGTGTTCATTTTTAGTAAACACGGCACCGCTCAAACGTCAAATTTGTTCATGCAGTTCATTCCGTGCATTGGTCAATAGTACTATAGGTCATTTAAAAAGAAGGATCACGACAAGAAACCATCCATTCTGAAAAGGAGGACAAATTTCAAAAAAGGCCGGAAATAATGTTAATTTCCTTCAATATTGGTATTTCCTATTTCAGAAAAAG